AATTAAAAAATAAAATACCATAATATAACATTTAAAATGCTAATGATATATTAACTGAGAAAAACATATAGTAGGACAAGAATATTTTGCAGTGCCATTTGTAAAAAATGAATGTATGTGTGTGTGTGGATTGGTGAGGGTGTGTGTTTTGTATGTGTGTGTCCAAAGAGGGGGATAACAGTTGATCTCTAGGTGGCAGAATTGTGTATACACTTTCTATGTATATTTTCCAACTTTTCTACATTGAATATATTTTTTAGAAAACCAGATTACATAAAAACTCAAAAGTTCTGTACAAATATAAGAAATAATTGCTATTGGTCCATACAGAGCCCCTCCCTGAATTGAATTTATTTATCTTCCCTCTTTACTTACACCAGTGATTCTCAACTGGAGGTGATCCCTGCTCCCTTTTGCAACAAAAATAACGTATATGTGTATATGTAGGGTGTGTGTGTGTGTATATATATATGTATATTTGGTATATGTGGTACATATATAGAATATATTCAGCCATAAAAATGGAGGAAGTCCTGCCCTTTATGAAAACGTGGATGGACCTTGAGGGCATTATGCTAACTGAAATAAGTCAGACAGAAAAAGAAAATACTCTGCGATCCCACCTATATGTGGAATCCAAGCAACAACAAAAAACAAACTTATCTAAAAAGAGATCAGATTTGTGGTTACCAGAAGCAGGGGGTGGGGAATTGAATGAAGGTTGTCAAAAGATACAGATTTCCAGTTTTAGGTAGGTGAGTACTGGGGATGTGATATACAGCATGGTGACCATAGATAACACTGCTGTGTGGTGTATGTGAAAGCTGTTAAGAGAATAAATCCTGAGAGTTCTCATTACAAGGGAAAAAAATACTTTTTTCTTTTTCTTTTTGTATCTATATGAGATGATGAATTTTACTTATTGTGGTAATCATTTTATGATATATGTAAGTCAAATCATTATGCTCTTTACCTTAAACTTATGTAGTGTTATATGTCAATTATATTTCAGTAAAACAAAACAAAAAAAAACCCACAAATATTCTGTAGTCATTTTGACTCAGAGGGCATTTTGTTATTAATACATCAAAACCCACAAACACCACCTTTTCTTTCCATGTGATGGTTGAAGAGACTTGTTTCTTTCCTCATTCCTGAGCGTGTCTCACTCCCAGGTATACCCCAGGGAGTACGGGAGAAAAGTATGGGGAAGACGAAATAAAGCTAAGGAACGGGGTGAGAAATATTTTCTACATAACTTGGTATTTTTACAAAAGACCAGAAGTTTATTGATTTGTATTTCAGAGTTTATCAAATCGCAGCCTCAACATAGCCACATTGAAGTTGCCCCATGAAAATAACCTGTCCCTGTAAAGTGTTATTAGCAGGATGTGGTCTAGTGAAATGTTTTCTAATGCCCCGCCATGCTAAGATTCTGTTACTGTAGGTGTGTTCCCTCTAGGGCAATTGGAAATCAGGTGTCTTCTTCACCTGCAGATGCCATGGTCATCCTGATCCCCAAGCTGGACCCAGTCAGGTCCATGAACAGCAGTGCCCTGGTCCTCCTCATTCTACCCCTCCTAGAGATCACCACCTACTACTCAGAGAGGGTGAGCACCGTCATCATCACCAGGAACACCCTAATCAGCATCCTGGGCTTTGTGAGCTTTGTGGTAGGGACCTGCCAAGCCCCAGACAAGCTGATCGAGCCGGGAGACACTTTCACCTTTCCCAATTCCACTGGCACCATGGAAGAGTGACTAGTTTTCAACTTGACACTTCTCCCTTCAATCCTTAAACTAACATTTTAGCCTTGTTTGAGCAAAGATCCTCCTTTCATTGCTAATATCTATTTTTATGAGACCTCCATGGTGATGGGCAGAAATGGGGTCAGAAGATCTGAGTTTTAATCCTGAGCTCTGTCGTTTACTCCCCCTGATCTGGGCCAGGCCACATACCCTCAGGTGCCTCAGTTTTACAAATGTGGTTAAAGAGTCTAGCATAACCTACCTCAGAATGTTGTGGAAAACAAGTGAAGGTATGTGGACAAGCATACTTTGAAAAGATAAAGTGCTCTACCAATGTCAGTGATTCTTATTTTGCTGTTTCCTCCTCTGAGGGCCAGAGAGGCAGGAAGGGAACCTCCCTTTCTTCAAGCCAGGCTAACTTATCTCTTGTCCTAACAGCTGACAAGACACTGAACCGTGATCCAGGAGACCTGGTTGTAGCAACCCCAGGAGCAGGCACCATTGATCCAGGCTTGCTGCGGGCCAGGCAATGTACAAAATGCATCCCATACGTTATCTCATTAAGTCATCCTCAGAACCCAATAAGGTAAATGGTATCTCCTCCATTTTATAAGAGAGAACACTTAGGTTCCAAGAGATTAGGTTATGGTCTAAGTTATACGGTTAGTAAGTGGCAGAACTAGAATTTAAACACTGGCCTAGTAGGCATTGAAGCCCATGGTCATAACCATTACACCCTGAAACTACCTCAGCTGTGTGACAGAAGTGATTTTTCTCTGGGACTCAACTTCCCCATCTGTAAAATGGGAGGGTTGGCTAGATCTCTGAGGGCCCATTCTAAACCATCTTTGCACACTTCAAAGTCTTCTTAACAAGAGGCTGGCCTCCACCTCTCCTGCCCCCAGTTGTTGGGGCCAGTTGTGGCCTTGCCTTCAGCCTTCTGTAGCCCCCTGACTGGTTGCTTTCCCTGAGCCTATCAAGTAGGGACAGAATGATAATGGGTTTGCAGCCACTGGTCACTTCAGCCAGATGAAGATGCAGCTGAGCACTAGTATAACATCTAAATAACATGAGCAGCGTGATGAGCAGCAGTAGAGATGTAGGTTGAGTGGGATGGCCAGGAGAGATCTAGAACATTCACGGATGTTGTGCCCAAGTTAACCAACTCAGCAAAGTGTGGAAATGTTTGAAGCTGAAAGCATCATGGTTTAAGCAGCTGTCATTGCTCTGGAGAAAGGACATCAGTTTGATATGTGTTTTAAAGTTCTAGGATTGAGTAATGTCACATATACTGTCTCTCACATGACTGCATTCGAATCACTCCTCAGTGATTGTAAAAATGTAGCTCCCTAAATCAACCTTAGGGGGTGGGCCCAGGAATCAGTATGCTAACCAGTTTCCCAGGTGGTTGCCTGCCCACTGAAGCTTGAGGACCACTGCTCCAGTCAGGAATGGCTATTAGTTAGGTGGGAATGAAGGAAATTTCTCAGGGACCATGTAAAACAAGTCACAAAATTCAAGTTCTGATCCTATAAAATAGCAATGGATTTCTGGGAGTGGAAGAGTAAGAAGACGCAGAGTTCATGCTCAAAAAAGATCGACTGACTGGGGCGCCTGGGTGGCTCAGATGGTTAAGCGTCTGCCTTCGGCTCAGGTCATGATCCCAGGGTCCTGGGATCGAGCCCCACATCGGGCTCCTGGCTCAGCCGGGAGTCTGCTTCTCCCTCTCCCTCTGCCTCTCCCACTGCTCATGCTCTCTCTCTCTCTGTATCTCTGTGTCTCAAATGAATAAATAAAATCTTTAAAAAAAAAAAAAAAAAAGATCGACTGACTTAGGTCAGAGGTTGGCAAACATTTCCTAAGAAGGGCCAGATAGCAAATACTTTAACCTTTGTGGGCCCTACAGTCTCTGTCATAACTAAGCACCTCTGCTACTTAGCGTGAAAGCAACCATGGTCACTATGTAAATGGAAGGACATGGCTGTGTTCCAATAAAACTTTATTTACAAAGACAGCCATCAGGACAGATTTGGCCAAAACAAAGTCATAGTTTACCAATCCCTGCTTTAGTTTGTCACAAAAGAGAGAAATCAAACAAGATCAGTAGCAATTCTTGGCATCCCACTCATCTTGTAAAAAAGTACAAGTCACTAAAGTCTCCTACTCTACAAAATCAGCAGTGGAAGCTCCATCTCTCCCGTGTCAGAATACACACGCCACCTGGCTGGTGCTAGAATGTTCCTTTTAGTACAAAGAAGAGTGACGAGTTTTGTCCGCGGATACTGGCTGCCAACAATACTTCTCCTGCTGCCTACTACTGCCTATTATCACACAGCAATAAACTCCTTAGCTATGTGGGCCTGTGGCTAAAGCTGACCTAGGAACAGACCTTCTGTGGCTTTGTGAATGGAAGACCAAAATGAGGAGTTTCTGGTTGTCCACCAACACATTTGTGGTCCTGTCACTAAATCTCTCTGGCCTTAAGTGGCTCATCTGTAACAAAGGGACTATAACCCCTCCCCTTCTTCCTCCCAGGTTTGTTGTTCACATCAACAGGATTCTGGATGGGTTACTTCCTAGGGAACTGCATAGTCCTGTCCCCACAGGAGCACCCTGCCTGGGTAAATATTAGCTGCCGGATCTCTCTTTTTTTCTTCCTTAATGACCCTCACCTTTCAACAAGGAATCACAAGCAGGTAGAGGGGAAAAGATACCTCTGAAGTTAAATTTGAGGAAGAAAATTGTCCCCAGTTTGGTAGCACATTTTTTACTGAATTTATAGCAGAGAACTAGGGCCAACAAGACAGGTTACCCACAACCTAAAACCCAGCAGTTAGGTTCACTACGGGAGGATTTTGTTGACCTGCTTCCTTCTTTGTCTTTGTCTGAGTAGATGGGAGAGTGGCTTGAAGCTAGACTTTAGTGAGTGCATTTCTCCTTGCAGAAGTGCAGGAGGAGAGCCGGTCCTGGAATTGCAGGGAAGAGACGATGCAATACAGGCGTGTACTACGTGTGGGACACGGCTCTCAAAACGGAAAGGAACGCAGAGGTCACCACCAGCACACAGCCCCTCTCCTCCTAGAGCTGAATGGCTCCTGCTCGGCGGGGACGTGAGTACTCGACGGACTTCTCACTCCTCTGTTTTTCTTCCAGCACTTTATCAGGGCTGCCCTGTACTCTTAACATACCCTTTTTAAATTTTGAATTTTGTTGCAAAAATAACATGTATGTCTTTAAAAATTAAAGCACTGAAATTAAAACGTGAAATTCCCACCCCTGCTTCTAGCCCTGTGTCTCCACTTACATGTCTACAATGTAGGAGGAACTATTATTAATTCTTCCAGACCTTTGCAAGCACATACACACATGGATGTGATATGTGTGTGTCTTAGTCCATGCACGAGGCTGTAGCAAAAACACCACTCACTAAGTGACTTCTAAACAACAGAACTTTGTTTTTTACACATCTGGAGGCTGGAAGTCCAAGATCAGGGTGGCGGCATGGTCAGCTGAGGGCCTTCTTCCAGGCTGCAGACTTCTCATTGTATCCTCATGTGGTGGAAGGGACAAGGGAGCTCTCTGGGGTCTCTTTTATAAGGGCGCTAACCTCACTCAGGAGGGCTCCACCCTCATGACCTAATTAATCACCTCCCAAAGGCCTCACTTCCTAATACCATCACATTGGGCATTAGGCTTTCAACATATGAATTTTAGGGGGACACAAACACTCAGATCATAGCAGTGTGTGTGTGTGCATGTGTGTTTTCTATGTGTGGGTGGGTATTTGTGGTTGTATGCGTATGTGGCTTCTTATTTTTAGAAAAAAGGGATTATATTATACTTAGGTGAGCATTTCATATTTCGCAATAATATACCCTGAACATCCCTCCACGTTAGTATGTACGGATGTACTTGAATCTTTTTAGCAGCTGCAGCAACATTTTACTCAACAGAATCACAGTAGTTTATTGAATCATGATCCCCTTGATGTACTTGCAGGATGTCTCCGATCTTTGGCTGGTACAGATAATGTTATAGTAAACACCGTGGTGTACAGCCGTGCAAGCATCTCTGCAGGACAGATTCCTAGAAATTGAATTGCTGAGTTAAGGGGAATGTGCTTTTCAAAATTTCAGTAAATATGACCAAGTTAACTTCCAGTGCTATGTCATTGTTATTTTAGTGGGCCTGTCTTTGATCAGTAGAGAGGTCTTACAATGCTGTCTCTTGCATTACAGCTCCTAATGTTCAAGTTTTATTTCTCCTTTGTGATGAGCATCTCTTTCTGCTGCCCAGCATCCATCCTCCCTTCTTCTGGTAGTTGTTCCCTGATTTCCTTTGGAAAAACACTTCTGCCACCCCCCATGTACATAGTTCTGAGGCTGACTCTGTCCCGCACTCCAGGGGTGAACAGATAACCCAATCCTGGGCCATCAGAGTTACAGTAGCTGGTTCAGGCCTGTGCGTGTGTCCCAGTCCGGCCAATAGCAGCTAGTGCCAGGACTATTTCTAGAGCGACTGAGAAAGAGGGGGAGTAGCCCGAGAATCATCCCTCCTTCCTGTCCTCCTACCAAAATAGAGTTCAATCCAGCAACCCCCAGCTCCAGCTGAGAGGTGGGGCCCCAGGTCCAGGGCAGAGTCAATCTCCCTGGGCCTGTTTCCCCATATATAAAATAAGGAGGTTAGACTCTGTTCTCCAAGGTCATTTTAGCTCATGTGATTCAGCACAGAGAAGCACAGGGACTTGTCTGAAGTGCAGGTATTTATCTAGGTAAAAGATCATTTCCTCCAGAACAGCTGTTCCGCAAACAAGACCTAATAAAATGAGGACATCATTTTATGATGAGAGTATTTACCCAAAGGAGTTGAAAACTTATGTTCACACAAAAACATCCACACAGATGTTTATAACAGGTGTATTCATAATTGCAGGAGTTTGGAAGCAATCAAAATGCCCTTCAGTAGGTGAATGGATAAATAAACTGTAGTACATCCAGATAGTGCAATATTATTCAGTGTTAAAAAGAAATGGGCTATCAAGCCATGAAAAGACATGGAGGAACCTTAAATAAATATCACTTGGGGGAAAGAAGCCAATCTGAAAAGGCTACATACTGAATGATTTCAATTACATGCATTCTGGGAAAGGCAAAACTATGGACACATAAAAAGATCAGGGGTTGCCAGGGGTTAGGGGGAGGGAGGCATGAATAGGCAGAGGATTTTTAGGACAGAAAAACTCTCCTGAATGATAATATAATGGTGGATACATGTCATTAAACATTTGTCCATACCCACAGAATGTACAACACCAAGACTAAACACTAATGTGAACTATGGATTTGGAGTGATAATGATGTGTCACTGTAGGTTCATTGATTGTAACAAATGTACCCCCCTGGTGGGGGTTGTTGATAGTGGGGATGGCTCGAAGCTGTGAGTATTTGGGGACAGGGGTTATAATAGGAACTCCACTTTTTACTCAGTTTTTTTTTTTTTTAAGATTTTATTTATTTATTTATTTATTTATTTGTTTATTTATTTATTTATTTATTTATTTATTTATTTACTTGACAGAGAGAGACACAGCGAGAGAGGGAACACAAGCAGGGGGAGTAGGAGAGGGAGAAGCAGGCTTCCCGCTCAGCAGGGAGCCCGATGCGGGGTTTGATCCCAGGACCCTGGGATCACGAGACCTGAGCCGAAGGCCGATGCTTAACCGACTGAGCCACCCAGGCGCCCCTCTACTCAGTTTTACTGTGAACCTAAAACTACTCTAAAAAATAAAGTCTATTAATAATAATAAAAAATTTTAAGACAATATCAGGTTTAGGTAGGCAGTTCCTAAACTGAGAACCATATTTTAGGCTCTTTTCCTGGCTCTGTCCCAAACACAGTGGGTCTTTGTGTATGATCATTTCCTCTCTCTGAGCCTCAGTTTCATGATCTATAGAATGAAGAAACTAGTCTGTGCTTCAGGTTGTACAATTCTGTGACATCTAAGATAAAAAAGGAAGGACAGAAGGAGAGAGAGGAAGAGAGAGAAACAGGCAGAAGATGAAAGGGGAGGTGGCAAGAGGAGGGAAAGGGGAAGGAAAATGGGACAAAACAACCACAGAGTCATCAAGTGGTAGATAAGGAACTAAGGAAGAAGGCAAGTTGAGCTTTGGGTAGATAGACAAGGAAAATGGGTTGGCCCAGAAGCCACATCTGAGTCTTTAGTCTTACCTGAATGAGAAAAGCTCTAATGCCCCAAGGGAGACTGTTACATTTATTTGATGAGCACTAAGTGAGAGGTAATTGTGTGCACAACCATGTGCTAGGGACGCTAACCCAGCCAGGGAAAAGAAATGCCTAGATACGAACACTACAGCTTAAGGTCGGCGGTTTGCTTCTGAAGTCAGACAGATCCGGGTTTGGTGATTGGCTGGGTAAGGTAATCAGGTGAATAATGGCCTCAAAGATATCCAGGTCCAAATCCCAGAATCTGTGAATGCTCCTTTATATGGCACTTTGCAGACATGGTTAAATTAAGATACTCAAGATGAGATTATCCTGATTATCTCAGTGGCCCTAAATGAATCACAAGTATCCTTCTAAGAGAGAGGCAGAGGGAGATTTGATGACAGGCAGAAGAGAAGAAAAGCATGTGATAGAGGCTGAGTCAGAAAGAGAAGCCACCACATGAAGATGCAGGAAGGGCCAGGAGTCAAGGAAGGCAAGGAATGCAACTCTAGAAGCTGGAAAGACAAGGAAACGGATTCCCCTAGAGCCTCTGGAGGGCACGTGGCCCAGCTGACTCCTTGACTTTAGCCCATTGAAATTGATTTTAGGCTGGCATCCAGAACTCTAAGAGCATAAGTTTGTGATGTTTTAAGCCACTAAGTTTGTGGCAATGTCTTAAGGCAGCCAAAGGAAACTAATATAGGCAGGGGTAAGGAACTTTACCTCTCCAAGCCTTATTCCCATCTGTTGACTATATAGGAACAATAACACATTCATTCATCAGATATTTTTTGAGAGCCTACCATGGGCCAGCCCTAAGTACTGGGGACAGCAGGGGACCAAGGCCTTCCCACGTTCACGGAGCTGAACTTCTAGTGAGAGGAAGCGAGTACATAAGCAAGACAATTACAGATTGTGGGAAGCAACCTGAGGGTAAACGGTGGGTGTGGGACGCAGTAACTAGGTGGCAGAGGGGGATCAGGGGAGGCCCTTGGAGGAGAAGAAACTCCAGCTAAGACCAGCAAGGCAAAATGCAGAGGGAACAGTGCAGGCATAGGGAGGAGCAAAAGGAGGAAAGGACAAGAGTTTTGGAGAACAGAAAGGCAGTTGGAGTGGCTGGGTGTCCTGTTCTAGAGAGAGGGACAAACAAGGGGAGGTTGTTGGGAGGGCAGCAGGGGCCAGAACATGCAGGGCCTTGTGAGCCATGGTGAGGATTCTATAGATTATATTTTCAGGGCATTCAAAGCAGTGGGAGGTTTTAGGCAGGGAATTGGCATCATCACTGCTACTGTGAGGACATAGATTTTTAGGTGGGGAAGAGGGAGGCAAGGAAACTCCCTAGGGTGCTCTTGCTGTCTTCCAAGTGAGAAGCGGTGCTGGCCTGGATGAGGGCGAGGACCATGAGGGTGAAGGACTGCTGTAAGCATTAAGTAACATAATGAGTGCTAAGTACCTGGCACCTAGGAAATGGCCAATAAGCGAAGCTCTCATTATGGTATTATTATTACCACCACCATCACCATCGTTATCATTATGAGCCATTGAAAACAAACTGGGCTGAACACAAGGCACACTGGGTAGGGTAGTGCGAGCAGAGCTGACACCTGCAGCCGGTGAAAGAGGGGCCATTGTGTCCTCATTCCTGCCCACCAGAAGCCACTCCCTGAAGCCACTGACCTTCTCTCCCTCCCTGACCTGCCCGCCCCTGCAAGTTCAGAAACCTAGAATGTCTCAGAACCCACGCCCGCTGACACAAATACATTCTTAGGCCATCAAGGAGTTCTGAGGGATAGTTTTTAATGTTCAAAATGGCATGGTAAGGCTGGTGGACCTTTGGCGATTAGACCTGATACAGTATTATCATGAAAACTTACGGGATCATTGCCTGGGCCTTTGTCTGTCTGTCTCTCTCTCTCGCTCTACACACACACAGACACACACACACACACACCTCTCTCCATCTCCACCAGCACCCCAGCAACCCAAGCCCGGATCCTCCACCTCACTTAGACCGCAGTCACCTTCTTGGAGGTCTCCCTGCCTCCTCTCTTGCTCTCGGGTGACCCATTCTCCACACAGATCTTGCAGAGCACACTTCAAATAACACCCAGACTCTTTACCATGACCTGCATGGCCCCCGCCTGCCTCTTCCCTCCTCTGGCCTCCGTCCCTTGCACTCACACGACTCCCCGCCCTGGCCTCCTTTCAGCTGCTCAAACTCTCAGCCACCCCCTCCTCAGGGCCCCTTCCCTTACCAGCTCTGCCTGGAACACACTGCTAACTCCTCGCCTCACCCGTGTCCCATTTTCCCACAGCTGGCCCCTTCTTTTTGGTTCTTAGCTCCAATGCCACCTTCTCAAAAGTCCTTCCCTGACAGATTTACCTGAATTGCCTCTTCTCTCCCTGCCCCCCCATCTTCCTTGACTGCACCATGCTCATTCCCTTCAAGGCACTGACCACAGTTTATGATTATCTGCTGCTCCTTTATCGTCTGGCTGCCACACTAGACCGTGAGTCATCTGGCAGTTTGTCATGGACTGAATGTTTGGGTCCCCCAACATTCAGATTTTGAAGCCCTAACCCCCTGCCCCCCAGCATGGCTGTATTTGGAGATGGGGCCTCCAACACAGTAGTTAAGGTTAAACGGGGTCACAAGGGTGGGTTCCTGATCCAATAGGATTAATGTTCTTATTAAGAGACAGGGGAGGCGGAGCTCTCTCTCCATGCACGCACACCCAGGAAGACCATGGGAGAACATAGGGAGAAAGAAGCTGTCTGCATGCCAGGGGGAGAGCTTTTCCCAAGAACTGACCTGCCAGACCTTGGGACTTCCAGCCTTTAGAACAGTGAGGAAGTAAATGTGTGTGTTGGAGCCACCCAGCCTTTGGTATTTTGTCGTGCGGCTCTAGCTAAGACACAGGCACTTGTTTTGTTTGTTCGTTACCTTCTTCCCATTAGGGCGTAGCACTTGGCACATGGCAGGGACTTGGTAAATATTGGTTAAATGAATGAATGAAACTTCTCTTCTGCACTGCGTTTCAAGGTGTCTGGGAAGTGGTGAAAGCAGCAGGGCTGGGAAATCAGGAGACCTAGACTGGGTCATAGTCTTGGCCCTGCCATGGTACCACCATTAATTCACTGTGTCCCTTCCCTCTCTGGGCCTCAGTTTCCTGATTGGCAAGACAGTACAACTCAGCAAGATGACCTTTCGAGTTCCCCCTAGTGATAAAATGGTATGAGAAAAACAGCTCCCCTAAGAGGCACCGGGGTGGCTCAGTCGGCGACTCTTGATTTCAGCTCAGGTCATGATCTCAGGGTCGTGGGATCAAGCCCTGCTTTGGCCTCCATGCTTAGCAAGGAGACTGCTTGAGATTCTTTCTCTCTCTCTCTGCTCCTCCCCCAACTTGCACGTGCGCGCGCTCTCTCTCTCTCAAAAAAAAGAAAAAAATAGCTAGTTCCCCTCTCTGGGGCACTGATGGTGATCTAGGCACTGCACTTGTCCCTTTTCTCTGTTGCTCCTCACTCCTGCCTGGAGAGGTATAGACGCCCTTGTCAGCATTTCACAGGCGAGGAACAACACCAAGGCCCAGAACAGTGACCTGCCAGAAAGGGGAGGAGTGCTTTCAGTGTTAAAAACATTGTCCTTTATCCTGAGATTGTATCCTTCCAGCTTTTGGGGATTGAAATATTCTTTCTTTTAAGAAATGACCTTTTTTTTTTTTTTTAAGATTTTATTTATTTGTCAGAGAGAGCACGTGAGAGAGAGAGAGGGAGAGGGAGGGAGAGGGAGGGGCAGAGGGAGTAGCAGACTCCACACTGAGCAAGTCGACCGATGTGGGGCTCAGCCGATGCAGGGCTCGAACCTGGGACTACAGGATCATGACCTGAGTCGAAAGCAGACGCTTAACTGACTGAGCCACCCAGGCGCCCCAAGAAATGACCCTTTTAAGATACTTAGAAAACTGAGAATTGGGACGTCTATGCCAATCCCTAAAGTTCATCTGGAAATTTGATAGCTGCATGAAATCCCAAAGTCTTCAACCACATAAATTATGTACATGGAAGGGTTTATTATTATTATTATTATTATTATAATGGAGTTTCTAGTATACATTAAGCATCATCAAGGCACACGGGGATAAACTACAGCTTCAGAGGCACGTTCCAAGAGGCCCAAATTCACATCAGGTGCCTTAGGCAAGTCAAGTAACCCGCTTGAGCCTCATTTCCTCATCTGTAAAGGGGGGTGATAACAGTGCCTTCTTTGTAATGCACTTAGTCTTGAGTTAGCGCACAGAAGAGACTCACTGCAGTGAGTTATGATTATCGCCACTGTTGTGCAGTCAGGGAGAGAGTCAGAGTAATCAGCCACAGGCTGGGAAGAGCTACCCCGGGGAACGAGGATGCGATGAATTCCCATCTGGGTAGGGGTTTCAGTGTTGCTTCTGGAGTCTCCAACTTCCTTCCTGAAGGAGTGCTTTGTGTTCGTTCCGCCAAGTTCTACACCTTCAGGCAAAGCACTTCCCAGCCTCTAGTCTATTAAAGGCGGGCAATGACTTTTACCCCATAGCACAGTGGAACTCGAACTCTGGCCAGTGTCAGAACCACCTGGAGAACTTGGTCAAAATGCAAAGGCCCAGATTCCCCATACTTCAGTGAGTCAGTGTCTCTCTGTGCCTTATCTCCTTCCCAGATGATTCTGATACACGCTAGCTTTCAGAAGAGCCATCAAAGAGTGAAAGAAACAAGGCCCTCAGTTTACTCTAAAGGGTCATAAAAGATGCTTATCATTATTTAAATCCCACTTGTTCCACCCACCAGGGCAATGGCAAGTGAGGAGGCTGTGCTCACGTAAGTGCCGTGGGTTCCGACACAAGGAAGGCTGGGCCTGCAGCTCAGTGGCCAGGGGGGGATGACAAGCACAGGCCCCAGGGTCCTCAGTGTTTCAGAAGTCCCCTACAAACTAGCACCCATTTCACAAAGTTGGGAGAGAGAGAAGCAATACCTTTCCCAGGGTCACAGCAGCCTCATTGTAAGAGCCACAGCAGAACCAAGAGCTACAGATGCCCGGACCAGTGTTAAAGGGCTTGCTTTGGGGGCCCCCACCTGGATGGAGCCCTCTTGCCTGCTGACAGGTGGTACGGCAAGCTGGATGTCTGCAGGCAGTGCTCTGTGAGTTTCCCTGTGGCTGATGATGTCTGGGAAGGGCCCCAGCAAATTCCCGTATTCCAGCAAAGGTCTGAAGATTAACTCAGGCTTCTCACAACCTGGGGAGGAAAACAGGACTTAGCCCCGTATCTAAATATCTCAAGCTCCTTGACAATCTTGTTCATCCATCTTGTTGCCTAAGCGGGAACAAAGATCTGTTGGTGAGATGAGAGCTGAGATTAGAATCAAATTATAGAATCTCGTGCTGCGAATGAGCAGACCCGAGGATGAAGCCTGCCGCCCCACAGACCAGGAATGCTGCCACGTAATGCTGCCAGATGAGTGAAGAGAGGACGTTTCTTAAACCACAGCAAGTGTCTCCGTTGATTCAGGGCAAGAAACTCACAGGGTGGGGCCAGGATTCAAACCAGGAGGTCACTGTGGTGGTCACAGCCACAGGCTTCAGAGACAGAAAAATCTGGCTAGGGTAGATTTGGGGCTCTGCCAAAGATTAGCAGTGACCTCGGGCAAGCTATTCTATACCTCCCTAAGCCTCAGTTTCCACATCTGTAAAAACAGAATGACAATGCTACCCAGAGAAGTGGCCAGGCTTTTTGGAGCCTGAAGCTTATACCCCTTGGGTGGGGGTGGGGGGTACCGATAAGGGGTGGAGAGGGCCTCTTTAAGAAAAGGAATACAAAATTACAAATTCAAAATTGCATACAGGACCTTGGAAGGGGTCCCACCTAAGGGAGGGGCTAGACAAATCTGTCTTGGATGCTACCAGTTAGCTGAGAGACCATTGGAGTAAAGCCCTTGGCACATGAGATGGTGGTACGGAGAGTGGTCTGGCTTGACTAAAATGCTATAATTTTGAGGAAGGAGGAAATCTTGGCCCATTCATCTGTCACTGAAGCAGAGATAATGACAGAGAATGAAACACTAGAGAAACCCCCGAAAGGCCTTCTTTAGCTGCAGAATTCTATCCTGAATGTCACGTGCGACCTTAGGCAAATCACGTGCTTTTCTGGTGGCAGTGTCCTACCCAGTGAAATGTGGCTTGTACAATCTCTGCCCTTTTCCCAAAGAACCCCCACTGCTTTCTCCCTGGAGCCTCACAAAAGCTAAGAAGCAGCTAGAGGTGAGTGAGGGCTTGCTCCTTTTCCCCCCAACTTTTCCCAGGGAAGGGGATCTCCCGGAAGGATGCCTTATAACAGATGTCAGCCAGTGGGAAGTGGAGCCCCTGACCTGGGATGAATAAGGAGATGGGGTATGGAGGTATTCTCTTGGAGACAAAAATAGGGTATTAGTTAAAAAGCCTGCCGAGTTGGGCACTGGTCCCTACTCTATCACTTTCTAGCTGTGTGACCTTGGGCAGGTCCCTTTAGTCCAGAGTTTGATTTCCTCATTATTTAATTTATAGGATTAAATGAGAAAAAAAGGTAAAGCACTCAGGAGAACGTCTGTCTCTTAGTGAAGTGCCTCATACATGTTAGTTAAGAAAATGATGGGTATTGTAGTCACTGCTATTAGGTGAAGTGGATGACTCCCCTCTCAAACCCCTTCCTGCCTCTCCTGCTCCAGCTTCTCTTGCACAGAGCTTCTTCTCTGGCAGGAGGAGCATACTCTCCGAGGGAGGTAGGCGGGGCCTCATTCCAGCTCGGCCAGAGCGAGGCACAAGCTGCTGAGCTGGGGTTTGCACCTGACGGACACCTTCCTGCTTGCCTCCTTCCAGAGCAGGCCTCCTCAACACCCAGAGCCCTCTCTTGGAAGCAGTCATGCCTGTGACAAAGAGTGCCGGGGGCCCCCAGGGCACTGTTGACCTCAAACTGGACCTCAGGTCCCCTCCCAAAAGTGCCAAGAAGCTGCAAAACAAGGACTCCAGTTTCTGGGATGGACCCCCTTCCGAGTCACCAGGCTTAGAGAAGACCAAGGGCATAACGTGAGTGCTTTTTTCTGCCACCCCCATTTCTGCCTCCAAGCCTGCAAGCTTGCACTGACTAAAACCCTGGCGCGGCGTGTCTGACCCCCATCCCATTATGCAGATGGGAAAACCAAGGTCAAAAAAAGTGCAGGCAGAGACTGAGTCAAGGTGAGAGCTTACAGGGGCAGGAGCGGAGACTCCAGAAAGCCCTAGGCTCTCATGGTCCCACACTCAACAGGTCCAGATGGGGACACTAAGGCCCACTTACCCCAGGCCACCCACTGGGTCATTGGCAGGATGGGCGCTGGAATCCAGTGCTGGCCCTAAGTCAGTTTTGTTGCTGGTCAGTCCTGATCATTGGCAGAATCCCTAACTTCTCCAAGGAGGTGAGATCTGAGCTTAAAACCTTGGCCTCACTGACAACCAGGCATTGACTCCTCTCTGCCTCCTTCCTCCAGTTACTCTGGCCTCGCCTTGGGCCTGTACTTCAACTGTGAGGACATCAAAAGCACAGCATGTGGAAGACTTTTCTCCCACCTCCCTGGGGTGTGTGTGGGGGTTGGGGAGGCTTGCAAAGCATGGCCAGGAAGGGTCTGCAGAAGGAGTTTAGGTGGGGGAGCCACGCTACGGGCGGGGCTAAGCAGCCTCCGCCTGCACCGCTCGAGCAGAGAGGCCAGTTTACTTAGGACATGTGGGTGGGTGGCCTGCTGGAGCGTGCTGCTGCTTTAAGAAGAAAATGCGGACAGCACTGGTATGGTAGAGAGAACACCTGCACTCAACTAGTGATCTGCACCTTCCCTTCCCCCAGCCTCGGTGTCCCCCAGATGCAAAACAGGGGTAAACAGGTGGCAATGCGAATTTAAAGAGGCTGCCTGTGGGCATTACATCTGTTGGGTGGGGATGTGCAGTTAGGAGGGAGATGTTACCACAAGGGCAGGCGAAGTTCCGTTGGTCAGCGCCAGGATGGCCCCGACAGGGTTCGGTTGCCCCCAGGGACTAGTCCTGGGGGCTGTGAATTGCTGACACTGAGAATGAACTCTCCAGGCCTTGGGGCCATCCACTGAGGAGCAGGGCTATTTCTCAATCAGAGGCCTGGGGGGAACCGAATAGCTCTCGTGTCCTAAACTGACAACGTGGTTTGGTGGCAATTTCAACTACTTAAGAATCAGACATAAAGCATGAGAGAACTAGAGGGGCCCTCCCGGTTTGGAGCAGAAGAGAAGTAAGTCGGGCAAGCATGGAACTCGGGTCAGCTCACCTGGGTCCAGATGCCCATTTAGCTGCTAACTGGCTCGAGCAAGTGCAGAACTCTCTACCCCAGTTTCTCCTCTGTGAAATGACATTTCACTCCTCCCAGGATGGCTGCAAAGGTGATTTGTGCATAAAGCCCCCAAACAAGGCACCCTTAAAAGCTGGCCACTGCGAAATACCTTGAAGGTCCAAGGTCACCAGAGGAGTTGGGGCTAGAACACCGATGTCCTGCCTCCCAGCCCAGTGCTGTGCCCAGCTCACCACAAAGTTTTTACGTTTGGCTGCATGGCCCAAAGTTAAATTCTGATTTCTTAAGTCCTTTGGTTAGAAATTTCTAAAGTGACCTGTTGACCCTTGCCTTGTTGCAAAACAAGCCCATTATTGGAGGGCCGTAGGGCACAAGTGCTTGCTCAGAGATGTTGACACCCACAGGGAGAGAGAAGGGCACGCGATTCTCCGCCCACTTTCTCCCTCAGTTGTTCTCTTTAACCCATAACAAATCAATGGGCCGATGGGCTGATCCTTCTGAAAGCTAGAGGATCTAGGGATTAACATAAAGATAAGGGTGGTTGGGGCAATTCTTTCAAAATATCATTCCTCCCAACATTTACAGAGGCTCAGCAAAGTAGACCTGTTGCCCAAGATGACACAGCTAGTTAAGTAGTGGCCTTGGGATTTAATCTCTGGTTCGTCCAACCTCAGAGACCAGGCTCCTTCCAGAATACCTCTGGTGCCCCTCACAGTCAGTGTCCTCACTGAAAGGCTCACCCAGGGAATTTCCAATGTTTCAAAAGTTGTGGATGTGAACCCAACACTCACCTTGGTCGAACCTGTTCCAGGTACAAAGAGGTATAGTAATAAGTTGTTCTGTAATTCATCAACACAGAGGGTACCTCCCTGGAACTTATCCCTGAAGGTGCCCTTCAGACCACCTTCTTAAAGAGGGGGGTCTTAAAGAGGGGGTCTCAGTTTTTATTTTTGTTTTTTTGGAGGGTGGGAAGAGACCTGCCTTTCCCCAGCTTGAGGTCCTGGCCTGAAGGCCCAAAAAATTCCTCTGGAGCCCAATCCCCAAATGACCCTGTCTCAACAGATCCCATCTGGGGACCCAAGTCATCTGACCTATTTAATTCAGAAGTCACCATGAAGTGTCTAAAGTGTCTTTGCTGCTGGCCCTTTTCCCTTTTCTCTGAGTTTATCCTGTCTCACCTACTAGTTTTATGACCTTGGGCCATCCCCTTTCTGAGCTTCCATTTCCTTCGTTACAAAATGGGATTTTTCCTTTTATATATCTCTCTCGACCTATTACCAGGAGGTGGTCCAGTAGAAATGGGGTGAAGAACAGGGACTCTGAGGCATTTCTGGGTTCAAATCCTGACTCCCCAGTATATCTTTGGACAAGTTATTTAAAAAAAAAAAAATCTCTATGCCTCAGTTTCCTCATCAGCAAAATAAAGGCAATAACCTACTTCCTAATCTTGACGAGAGGATTAAATGAGGTAATACGGGTAAAGTACTTAGCATAGTATCTATTATATAGTAAATATTAGCATGGCATATATTGAGTGTTAGCTGCTAAAACCAGGACAGGCAAACTGAAATGGTTGGTCACCCTACAGGAGACCCAGAGGTGCCGATCAAGGTCACAGGGACTGAGAGATGGCCAGGAGCCCACCTATCCAGCTGAACTCAGGTGTTGGCATGCTGTGAGGGAATGCTGGTTGGACCTCCTCACCTTCACGCACCTACACCCTTATGTCTCTTTCCTCTCCTTTAGAGCGTTCCAGACCTTGGTTCACCTGGTGAAAGGCAACATGGGTACAGGGATCCTCGGGCTACCCCTGGCTGTGAAGAATGCGGGCATCCTGGTAAGAGGGGCTGCTGCAGGTGGGGCCAGCATGACCGAGTTGTAGCAGGGAAGTAGGAGGAGAGCCTCTCAGAGTTTATAATGGCTTACAAGAAGCAGTCTTTCTAGGAGGCAGCTTGGTCCAGACTTGGAGTCTAGATATCTAGCCAGGGTTTGAGTTCCGGCTCTGCCACAGACATTGAGTGGCCCTGGCAGGTCATTTGTCCCTTCCCTGGGGCTCAGTTTTTCCTTTGGAGAATGCAGGGGTTGGATGATGATGAGTTTTCCTCTTGTGCCCTGTGAAGCACTAGTTCTCAGGGACACCTCAGAGGCCACTATGGGTCAGAATCCTGAGTCCCCCACTCCCACCACAACACCCATTGTAATTGCTTTATGTACTTTATTGGAGTACTACTTGAGATTATATTTGAAAGAATAGGTATTGCTGCCAAAAAGGACTTGCAAAGCAGTTTGCTAGAAAGTTCCTTGAGTGCCAAATGGTATCTGTGCTACCAAATCTGTCCTTGCATTGTTCTTCATAAATCCATTCTCTTCTCTCTTCCCATTTCCCTTGGCTCCCCCTTCCCTCAGATGGGCCCGCTCAGTTTGCTGGCCATGGGCTTCATCGCTTGCCACTGTATGCACATCCTGGTCAGGTGTGCCCAGCGCTTCTGCCACAGGTGAGGAAAACAGCATCCTCATGTCGATTGCTTTGGTACTTGGTTCTCAGGGATGTCCCAGAAACATCCTACATGAAACAAGAGCTTACTTCTTTCTTCCAACAAGGCTAAGAAAAAGAGAAAAAGCATTTGGGATAGGGACCTAAGATGAGGCTCTGCCATGTGACTCATTAGGTGATCTCAATCAGGCCACTGTGATGATCTGCTTGGCTCATCTGTAAATTGGGCATAAACAATCCATGCCTAACCCTGCCTCAGAGAATTATGATGAGAACCCATTGGGATCATGGATACGAAAACTGCTGTGCCCATGTGAGGTGTGCTTTATTGCCCTGCTTATATAGGAACCACCCCACAGGAAATACTGCCAGGTGTCTAAGTCTGAACTAGAACTTGGGTCTCTGCCCCAGTGTTCTTTCTACTCCCCTGGGTCCTGCCTTGCTGTATGTCTCCTGACTTTTTAGTACAGGATCTGAGGTTAAACCCTCTCTTGGTAACTCTGTGTGCACTTTCTCCTACAGGCTTAACAAGCCCTTCATGGATTATGGCGACACGGTGATGCACGGCCTGGAAGCCAGCCCCAGTGCCTGGCTCCAGACCCATGCCCACTGGGGAAGGTACCTTGTTCTTGCTCTGCTGGAAGTGGAGTGAGCTACTGGAGGTGGAAATGCGGCTTTCAGGGATGCCTTCTTCCCTGGAAAGCTGACTCGTGTGGCACAGAATGTTGGGCTTTCCACAGGGAAGGGGTTCACTGGCAACCTTCCTGACCCAGCCCCCCTCCTTGTATACCTCCAGTGACAGCATGCTCATTCCTTGTTATGCAGCTTTAATATTATTGACTTATTTATGAAACTGTATTTATCCTGTCATACTATGTACCAGGCCCTGGAAATACTGTGGGGAGCAAGGCAAACAGGCTTTGCTCTCACAGAACCCATAATCCAGTGGGAAAGACAACCATTACACAGTTTAGGAGACAGTCATTCATAACCACTGGGATGAGTGTGATGAAGGAAGGAAATACTAGTTGCTACTGAGCAGGTAAGGCGATGTGTGTGGGCTCATGTGGTCTTTCTAGGTTGGAACAGTTGAGATGAGCCCTGAAGGAAGGAATTCTTTTTTTTTTTTTTTTTTTGAGGTGTAATGCAACTTCATCACTTTATTCAAATCTTCAAAATAGTCTTTATTCTACATTTTTAGTATAAAAAATCCACAAGTTAAGTGCACCACAGTGTCGAGAGAGACATACGACGCTGAACTTCCATAACAGTCAATGGTACAGTCAAACATCACATGGACAGAACACAAAATTTAGATGAACTGAAATTATAAAATAAAATAAAATCCAATTTCAGAAAACAAAAATCAAAATATTAAGGATCCCTGAAATATTCTTAACCCTAATGAGATTTCACTGGACTCAAGTCATTTTGTAGTGAGGAATTCATAACATGACCCCATTAACCCAGCTGAGGAATTCTCAGGAGCCATGAGGGCTTACATCAGGTACTCTGACAATCAACAGTAACCAATTTTTGGATGGGAAAACTTCCCCTAATTTGGCTCTGACGTCATCAGGCTTTTGAAATGCATCCTCCTCCTTGCCCCCACATTTTAAACAAACCTGTTTATAGTACAGTTTGCATTGATACCCTTTGTTCAAATAGAGCTCTGTTTTTCTGGCACCGAAGCAAATTGGGGTTTGGTTCATGGATGAAGAAACAACCTATGAGGAGGGTCCAAGAGGCACCCTCCACTTTTGCCTGAGGAGATGCAAAAGCAGAAGTAATGGGGCCTGTGCTTGGGGCACAGAGGGGGTTTCAGAGGATCCTTGTGAAAGACCAGTTAAAAGAAGGCAAGTGGGACAAGTGCAAGGAGAGAAGGGAGTTAGTCTGACTGGCTTTCTGTCCTGCACCATTGATTCAATGGAGATTGGCGGGAAGGAACTGGAAGAGACTAGAGGGGAGGGTGGGACATGGGGCAAAGGATGGAAAGGAGGGAAAGGCAGACAACTAATGCGTTTCATTTATAACAAGTAATAGAAATCAAAGACTTAAAGGAGATTAAAGACCAATCAGAATAATTTGGCAACTTTAATTCTTAGGAAGATCAAAGTTCCCTCCAAACCTAATTTGATGTTTTATTAACTAAGAGCAAAGACCAGTATGGTACAGTATTACTCCAGAGGAATTAAAGGAAGATCCTTAGGGCTGCTTTGCCCACATTCATTTTATGAATGGATGCCTCCCCTACCTCAAAATGCTTTAAAGAGGTACTGCTACCATTACATGGATCCTTATTAAGTTTGAAAAGTGACTGAAAGTTTGGGCACCAGAAAGACACCCCAACAACATGTGTCTAAACTGCAACTTCAAGTTAATAGGACTAAAGCAGTTACATTGTGAGAAGTGCTGAAGGTATGTGATGTCTTTCCCGGCACAGAGGTGGCCTTGGTTCTTCACCAGATTGTGTAGCCACCATCTGAGCCACCCATGAAGAAGTTTCTCTTCCGCTGAGTTACGAGGACATTGGCTCCCTGCATGGCTGCAAGCTGAGCAGCGTTGGGAGGGCACCCAGGGGGTGGAGGAGGAATGTTGCCAGCGGTAGCCCCAGCTCCAAATCTGGCACCTGCATCATACCCTCCTTCCACCAGCACTGCTGAACCAGGTGGATAGATGGGACCAACTGGATAATAAGCCATAGGGATTGTGGAACCTAAAGGTCCAACAGCCACAGATTAGGCCATGGGAAGGTACAGTGAGGCGCCAGGAAATGCAGCTGACATGGTGGGGACTGTGGCAGCCCCTGGGTGCACAAAGCTCAGACGGTAGAGCTCTGAGTAGGCAGGTGGAGCAACAGTATAGGGTGGAGCCTGAGGAAGATGCAAGGTCTGAGGGTACACTGGATTCCCAGGAGGCTGCACAGGGTAGGTTGGCTGTGTTGGATACTGACCTTTGCTGTTCATGGTGGCTGCTGGTCCGGTTCGGCTCAGCGTCGCGGACGGTTATTTTCTTCGTCCTCTTCCTGTTCGTAGTCACTTCCGTGTCCGGAAGGAATTCTTAAGAATAAGGAATTACCTAGGGGAAAGTGGGCAGCCTGGATGGCCTTCCAGGAAGATGGAAGAACAGAGCATGAAGGTCTGAAGCAAGATGGAATGCGTGACAGTTTCGAGGTACAGAACGACAGGGAGCTTGAGGGCATAGTCAAGGAGATGAGGCTGAAGAAGAATCCAGGGGTCCAAGCAAACTGTACATTTTAGACCCTCCTAAAGGTTTTTGTTTTTTTCTTTAAAACAACAAAGAAGCCACTGGAGGGTTTTAATCAGGCAAGTGATCATACTTGTATTGTTTAAAGATCTCTCTGGCTTCTGTTAGGAGAATACATGGTAAGTGAGCAATCGTAGATTAGGTCAGACCCAGGGAGGGGGCTATTGGCAACATCCAGGCAGATAGCAATGACACCTGGGACCAAGCTGGTAGCAGTGGGGATGGAGAAAGGTGAATTTGGTTATGCTTTGGATCCCAGGACTGTGGGAAAAAGAAAAGTCAAGGTTGACTCAGATTTCTGATGACTTTTAGTTTAGACAAGTTGGGTTTGAGGTTCAAGTGGAGATGTCAAGTGGGTAGTGATATGTATAGGTTTGAACCTATCTTCATGCAGGACATACAGAACTGACGTCATCAGCCATGAAGCCAGGGAGCAGAAGACGTCCCTTAGGGAGAGAGTTTATAGTAAGAAAAAAAGTGTATTTTAGAAAAGGCACACACACACACAAGACCTTAAGGACACTTTGCTGAACTGACGTCCTCCTCCTGCAAACTGCTGCCTTTTGCTTTCCGGACTGACACAGAACAAGTCAACCCCCTCCATCCTCGGTACTTGGAACTAAATCTGCTCTTTTGTCTTTGTTTTCAGGCCTGTGCCCACTCCATCTGCCTACTCTTTTCTGAGTACCATCTAGGTCAAAGTCTCTCTTGAATCGTGATACTCTGAACCATTACAGCCCTGCTGTGTGCCCTCTCACGAAATGTAGTTTGCAGAGCATCATGGCTCTGGCACCTCCCTTGGCCCAAAGCCCATTCACATACTGAATCAATAAATTGAGCCTCTGAGCAGACAAAGAAGGCTTTGGGACGATAACCAGTATTTTCCCAGTGTGTGACCCAAGAGGAGGCTTTGCCTGTCCCTTACTCCTCAAATCCTTCTACCCATCGTTGGACATAGAAAGCAGCTTTTCCTGCTCTTTTTAGGGACCTTGCTCCACTAATCATCTCCTCTCCTATAACTTGAACTTCTTTTTGGATCTGTGGGCTCTTCCTCTCAACAATTAAATGCATTCACGTGTCTCCATCTTAAAAAATAGTAATATAAACTCATGAAGTTTCCTGGACCTCACGCCGTCCTTTAGCCGCTATCCAATCTTCTGTTCAGCAGCTGCTTATTTAACAGATATCTATTGAATACCTGCAGTGTGTCAGGATGTGTCGTGGCAATGGGTCTACAATGATGACCAGAATGGGCACCATCAAGACTGGAGCTCACACTTAGTTCTGTGAAAGAACAGCACACCCTCTGACTTTACTTCCATTCATCTGGTTCACACCTCTTCCGTGGGTCACCTGGCTTTTCTGTCCTTAGACTTCTGTTGAAGGTCTTTCCACCAATGTCCTAAAAGACCTCCTTATTGCACCTTCTTTGCCCTAGAGAACCTCTCAACAGTGTGGGTACAATGAACTATTCTCTTCTCCAGATGTTTTCTCCTCCCTTGGCTTCTATTAAACCCTTCCCCCGCCCCTAGTTTCCCACCTACCTCTCTGGCCAGTCCTTGGCTTTCATTGCAGGCTCCTTTGTTCCTGTCTTCCCTTTAAATGTTGGTGTTCTCTAGGGTTGGAACACCACCTTCTCTTCTTCTCCCTCTGCACGCTCCCCAACACTGACCTGCCTTCTCAAGGCTTTATCCATTTCTGACAAATCAATGTTCCAGACCCTCATACACAGTCGTCTCCTGAATGTCTCCTATAGGAGCCTCAGCCTCAACAATTCAGATACTGAATGTGTCACTTCTTCACCTTCCCCTAAAACCTGTTCCTTCCTTCCAGTTCATTTCGTTGTCCTAGCCAAAGCCTGTAGGAACCTTTGATCATTGCCTTTCCCTTTCCCCCACATGTTAGTGGTGACCAAGTTCGGTTAAGTTCTAGCTCCCTAGTACCTCTTAAATTGCTTTAATTCTCTCCTCCTAATGACCACGTTTTTGTCCAGGCTGCTGGACACCTCTGTTATTTTAAGAATCTGCTATGCGGCCTACCCATCCTGAGTCTTGCCCCCTCCAGTGGATTCCCCACAGCCAGAGAAATCTGCCTAATCCCTCTGCTGAAATGCTTTCCTCACTCCTCTCCATGTTCTCCTCCTCGTCTTTTTAAAAATTTCTCTCTTTCTTCCCTTCCCAAGGGACTCCTGCTCAGGTATTGGTTTTTCTATGAAGGCTATCTGCTCTATAATTAGGATAAAATATCCTTTTCACTGTGGCTCTTAGTGCCATATTCTTTTTTGGTCACTAATCTATGAACCACTCGAGGAGGGGACCATGTGTTATTTGTATTTCCTCAGAGCCTAATACGGTGTCTGGCACATGGTAGAACAAATTTTCATGTTAATGATAGCTAATAAAAATGGTGTGCTTACTTCCCTACATCAATTAGTATCAATTATGAGAAATGCCGCAGAGCCAGGTGTGGGGGGAGGTTCCCAACCATAAATAATTCCTCCACTTGCTGAGCTGGGAGTGTGAGGGTGGTTGAGAAACACTTTTTTTTTTTTAAAGAACTATTGTTACCTCACTTCTTACTGCCCCATTGTTGATTGTGTTAGCAGAAGCAAGGGTGCTGGTATAGGGTCACCAACCCCTGGGGACAGAAATAGAAATGACAAACCAACTCTTCTTTTATAACATGTTTTCTTTCTCTCTCCTCTCTTCCAGGAATATCGTGAGCTTCTTCCTTATAGTCACCCAGCTGGGCTTCTGCTGTGTGTACATTGTGTTTCTGGCTGATAATTTAAAACAGGTAGAGTCGTCTAGAGAAGGTGGAAAGGGAAAGGACATGGAAAAGGAGGGTCCTCTGTGAGTTGTTCAGCAATTGTGGCTTCTTCTTTTGGGCTCCTAGTGTCCTCAACAGTACAATAAAGGAAGTTAAACTAGATGTTATGAAAGAATCCAGACTTCCCCAGTTTGCCTATCTGTTCTACAAGTGGTTACTTTTTCCAGTATCTTGGACCTTTTCGCAAAGCCGGTCTCTAAAACTGAGCTGGAAGAAACCTTGGATTTTTGTCAGTTGTCCTGCCTTGGAGTTTAATCATCCTTAACTCTCCTAAGACTGATATGGCTCTTTTTGGATGATACTTAATCTTTGGACCATCTTTATCTACCTTTAGCTGTTTAACCTCTGGTTTAACAGTGGTCTCCAGGAAGTTGTTTTGATCTAGCCCAGAAATTATCTTGTAGCAATTTAAGCAAAATATTGTAGGTAATGACAAAGGCCATCCTTAGTCAATCAGTGAGCTTAAAAAAGAAATTATTCTTTAGGGCTCTCTCTTTTTTTTTCCCCCGCTTATAGTAATAACCAGAAATTTAGAAACGTAAAGAAATTAGAAGGAAAAAAATAGCATGCATTCAGAGTTAGCTGCTATTCTATGTTAGGAACAGGGAGTATTATATATGCTTTCTCCCATTTAATTCTCTCTGTGGCCTTATCACTGTAGGTACTGTGGTTATTCCTATTTTGCAGATGAGAAAACCAAAGCTATAAACTCTATAATGTATAGAAGATCACAGAGCCAAGGTTAAAAATCCAGGTCTTTTCAACATCAGAGCTCAAGTTCTTGAACACTATGCTATATTACTTTTCAAAATGAAACAAAATTGGGGCACCTGGGTGGCTCAGATGGGTAAACATCTGACTCTTGATCTCAGCTCATGTCTTGATCTCAGGGTCGTGAGTCAAACCCCACATTGGGCTCCACGCTGGGCATGGAGCCTACTTAAAAAGTTAAGAAAGGAAGGAAGAAAAAATGATTATTAATTCAACCACTCGTGGTTATTATTTTAAGTTGGTATTAACTGGTTAGCATTTTGTAATGTCCTTACATTTTTTTTTGTCCTTACATTTTTTAATGTAATTTTTACCAGCTTCATAATATTTAATCACACAGATTGGCCAGGACATAGTCTTCTCTTGTTGGATATTTTATTTGTTTCCTTTTGTTTTTCTACTATAATCCGTGGAGGTCTTTGTACACCCCTTTATTTTTTTGGCATATATTCCTTAAAGTAAAATTACTGGGTCAAAGAGTTTGATTGTGGGGTGCCTGGGTGGCTTAGTCGTTAAGCGTCTGCCTTCAGCTCAGGTCATGATCCCAGGGTTCTGGGATTGAGCCCCGGGTCGGGCTCCATGCTAGGCAGGAAGCCTGCTTTTCCTTCTCCCACTTCCCCTGCTTGTGTTCCTGCTCTTTCTATCTGTCTTTGTCAAATAAATAAATATAATCTTTAAAAACAAACAAACAAAAACAAAGAGTTTGATTGTTTGAAGGCTCTTAAACATGGCCAGATTGCCACTTGGAAATCAATCAGCTATCAACAGAACATTATCATCTGTCTAGAGATAAGGCAAGCATTCTCTCTAAGAGTTTGCAGGCTAAGTAGGATGTGTTCTAAAACAAACAGGTTAGCTCTCAATATATTTTGGTGCTGGGTCAGGACACCACTAACAACTCTCTGAAGGCAGGGCCGCTTCATGGTGAACTTAAGGGGCAAAAATGTGCGGGGGCAGGAAAGATCATTGCAGCAAGAGAAAGCTCCCTTGCAGAGATGCATCTGAGCTGGGTGTTGAAGGACGGGTTCGAGAAGAAGGGGTGGCAGCCAAGAAGGGAGGAGTGAACACTGGAGGCAGGAATGTACAGGCCTGGCTCCGGAGAGGCAATAAAATTGGTTGTAGAAGGTGTGGACTTTGGGAGAGGAAGAGCCTTCAAGGTTGAATGGGGCCCATGATGGAGGGCCATGAATGCCTGCTAATGTTTCAAGTACTTTTCCTATTGAAAGGAATCAGAAGGTGAGGAATCAGAAAAAAATAAGGCTTAATGGTTCATTTAAGTAATCTTGGTATGTTCTTAAGTGAAAAGGAGATTTCAAAATAAGAGTATATGCTGCGATTGCAATCTTGTAAAAAAAAAAAAAAAGAAGATGAGTATAATACATGTAATTTGTGATATGGTATAGAAAATGCATAGATGAATATATTCCAGGACATCACCCTGGCTACCAATGCGTACTGAGATCATCATTGTTTTTACATCTTCTTGCCTCATTCTAGTCTCTAATTGTTCTGCAGTGGATTGTTCTGCAATGTTCCGCAATACTGCTTGCACAGTAAGACTACCCATTAAGTCAGGCTGATTCTGAACAAGGGTAGTACCATCCCTCTCCTCCCCCTCCCCCCTGACTTTGCCAGGGGGTGTTTGTACTGTGTGCAGGGGGGTGTTTCTTGTTTGTCATAGTGATTGGGGGATGCAAATAGCTCTTATTGGGTGGGGTCCAGGGATGCTAAATGTCCTGCAGTGAATGGTCCAGTCCTCATAAGGAATAATTCTCTCACTCAAATGACAGTGTGAGTCCGATTGAGAAACAGTAAGTGATGAGTTTTTTGGTTATAAGCAAAAGAAACTCTGACTAACTCATTGTGAGGCCCTGGTGTGTGAGACATGCTTTTTGTGAGGGAGTTTATGGGCCAGGCACTAAGCAAATCCTGTGGCCAGTAGATGTATTGAATCTTCCCCTCTTGCTTTTCCTGTTCCTTCCTCAGGTAGTGGAAGCAGTTAATGGGACCACCAACAACTGCCATTACAACGAGACAGTGTTTCTCACACCCACCATGGACTCGCGACTCTACATGCTCTCCTTCCTGCCCTTCCTGGTGCTGCTGGTCCTCATCCGGAACCTCCGGGTCTTGACCATCTTCTCTTTGTTGGCCAACATCAGTATGCTGGTTAGCTTGATCATCATCACCCAGTACATCGTCCAGGTTAGTGCACACGACACACCCGACTCCTCCAGTGAGCAGAGCCTTTTATCAATACTAGACTGATACCTACCTAGGGCCAGCCCTGAGGGTAGGTGTGTACCTCACTCTTCAGCCTCGTGCCGTTGTACCATTATTTCCACAAAGATGTCTCTGTGCCATCTCATTCTTCTGCATAGGTCCTCTTTTATGTTGCTGCTCCAGTCCTTGTCAAATTCTGGCCTTTGAAAAAAATGTTGCTTTGCAAGGAAAACATCTTGATGGGTGAACCACAGACCATTCCTGTAATGGTTGTATAGCAGCAAAGGGCAAATGAAAAGCAGGATCTCCTACAAAGCTGAAACTTACCAATTCCATATAGTCTTACATCCTCTAGGCTGCAATTCCAGGTGTCCAAAATTACCCATAGGAACTCAAGAGAAAAAAATAATAATACTTAGTCACAGAGGCATAGTCTCAGAAGACCACAAGCAAATATATCACAGTGCAAATTACAACGCCTTCAAGGTTGAGTTGTGGATATTGATTTTCCCTCAATATCCTACTTTTCTATCCTTTCTAATGTTTATTTACTGGACAAGACTACATAGAAATTTAAACCCAGAAGGCCCTTGACCTATCTCTCATATCATTCAGATATTTTTATATTTCAGAAGTCACATGAAAAGTTACTGTGTCCATGGAATTTAGTAAAAATTACATATTAGTCAAGTATTTTAGGATAACTACAAGTAGGTCTTATCTTCCTTAAGGCAACATCGATAAATTCTACAAAATTGAATTTCCTAATAAGATAGCTACCTTTGATTCATTTTTGGACCATTCTTGAAGTTGCGCAATTAGAGAAATGGCTCTGTAATTATTGTCCCATTCAGGTCACAGGGTACATAAGATATTTTTTCCACACACTTTCTTTCCCTTCAGTTTATAGCTCATTGAAGAAAAGGGGACTTTCATATCTAACGAATTACTCTGGACTCCCAAGAATATCACTAACTACAGTCAACAGCAATTTCTGTCACCCATAATCACTGGTACATTCCAATTGTCTGTGGGCACTTCAGGCTGGTACCAACCTGTGATGCATGAGATTTTCTTTTGGAGGATTCTGGTAAACCGTATTCCCCCCATGAGGTATTCAGTACTTGGACAATACCTCAATGTTTCTGTCCTCTGGCTCTTCGGTGTTGTATGTGTTAAAATCAACTTTGATGCCTACTTCCTTTTGAAGGTTTCCAAATTTCTTGACATTCCTTTTTTTTTTTTTTTAATTTAGGTCTACTCTCAGAATACTCCCCTTTTATTTTATTTATTTATTTATTTTAAAGATTTTATTTATTTATTTGACAGAGAGAGACTTAGCGAGAGCAGGAACACAAGCAGGGGGAGTGGGAGAGGGAGAAGCAGGCTTCCCGCAGAGCAGGGAGCCCGATGTGGGACTCGATCCCAGGACCCTGAGATCATGACCTGAGCCGAAGGCAGATGCTTAAGGACTGAGCCACTCAGGCGCCCCAGAATACTCCCCTTTTAAATGAACTGAAACGTGCTTTGAGAGTTAAGGTCTTACTACATTTCTCTCTCCTGTAGGAAATTCCAGACCCCAGCCGGTTGCCACTGATAGCAAGTTGGAAGACCTACCCTCTTTTCTTTGGAACAGCCATTTTTTCATTTGAAAGCATTGGTGTGGTAAGGTTTGCATTGGGGTGATCTTTCCCCCGTGCTGTGGGTGGCCTTTTGAACAGGATCCAGGAACTCTAGGTTTCTGGGTTTCTGTGTGCACACAGGGGAGAGTAACCTCTTGTCCCAATACATCTATTAAACATTTATCTCCATACCAACATGTGTTTCCTAATCTTTTAAAATCAAGACAAGTGGAGGCATACAATTTACAGGATTTAATGAAACAAACAAAAGGAGTTTTAAGCTGGGAAGTACTATATATTTACAATGGATTATTACATAGTTTGTGTTTCCACACTTGAGGAAGGATAGTGCTGTGTATGTGATGTTATTTTACTTTAAATTTGCATACAGTACAATTCACTTCGGTGGGGGGAGTGTATACATTTCTGTAAGTTTTGGAAATGCATAGAATCATAGATAGGCCACAATCAGGATACAGAACAGCTCCCTCACCACCAAAAACTCCCTTGTGCTGTCCCATTGTAGTCAGCTCCTCACCTCCCACTAACCCCTGGCAACCACCTTCTGTTCTCTGTCTCTATTGTTCTGTCTTTTCCAGAATGTCATATACCTGGGATCATGCAGTATGTAACCTGTTGAGACTGCATGTAAGATCACCTATGTTGTTGCATGCATCATAACTCCTTGCTTTCCATTGCTGAACACCTGCTGAACAGGCAGCACCAGGATTTTTTTATCAGTTCACCTGCTGAAGAACGGGTTGTTTCTAGTTTTCGACAATTATGAATAATGCTGCTATAAGCAAGCATTTGTGTACAGGATTTTATGTGAACATAATGTTTTCATTTCTCTAGGAGTAGGTTTGCTAGTCACATATTAATGTATGTTGTTTAACTTTATAACAAACTGCTACACAGGTTTTCATAATGGCTGTACCATTTTGCTTTCCCACTGGAATGGATGAACATTCCAGTTGCTCTCATCGTCACTAGTTCTTGTATGTCCTGTCAGCATTTTTTTATTCTGCCATTCTAATAGGTTCATAGTAGTGTTTGATTGTGATTTAATTTGCATTTTATTAATGACCAATGATTTTGAGCATCATTTTGTGGGCTTGTCATCTGTATATCCTCTTTGGTGAAGTATCTGTTCCAATCTTTTGCAAACTTTTAAAAAAACTGAGCTGTTGAGTTTTAAGAATTCTTTATATATTACAAATACAAGTCCTTTATTAGATATATAATTCCAAATATTTTCTGTAGTCTGTAGCTTGTCTTTTCATTCTCTTAACAGTGCCTTTCACAGCGCAAAAGTTTTAAATTTGATGAAGTCCAGTATATCAAAATTTTCATTTTATAAACACTTTTAGTGTTTTATCTAAAAACACTTTGCCTAACCCAAGTTCACAAAGATTTCCTCCTGTATTTTCTTCTAAATATTTTATAGTTTTCATTGTACATTTAGATCTATGATCCATTCTGAGTTAATTTTTGATAAAAGTGTTTGTATGTTGGGGTTCTTTTTTTAATAGGATACCCAATTGTTCCAGCATCATCTGTTGAAAAGACTGCCCATTTTCCATTGAATTGCCTTTGCATCTTTGTAAAAAACGTAACATTATTGTCTTTCAATCCATGAACATGGAATGTCTTTCCATTTATTTGGGTCTTCTTTCATTTCTTTAAACAATGCTTTGATGCTTCACATCATTCCCACACATTCACAACTTAGGGCAGAGCCCAGGACTTCACTTACAGATTTAGGGGATCACTTTCTCCAGCATCCTCCTATCCATGTTTTCTTGCACAGTCACCAGCTTCCAGGGGCTTCTTTTTCTGATTCTCTGGCTAGAAAGCCAGAGTTATAGCCTCCCTATAGTGCTATGCACTTCCTGTGACTGAGTCTGACTGGGGTTAAGCACTGAGAGAAAAGAGAGAAGGAAAAACTAAAATAAAAATGAATGAATGAATGAACGAACGAACTAACAGTGATTCCTTCCAGGGCCTGCTTCATAGACATGCAACTTATGCAGTTACATAGGGACCTGTCTTTGGAAGGATCCTATTCATGGTTTAATGCTCTGCTTTCATCATCTTGAAATTCTTGATTTTTGAACAAGAAGCGTGCAAATGAAAATTCTTTTTGCATAGGACCCTATAAATCATGTAGCAGAGCTGATTTATCCCCACATTCTTTGGACTCCCAAACCCCGTTTCCTAATTCTTTTGCTCAAAGAGAAAAATTTGTGTCAGATTTTTAGGTGCCTGCGTGACCACCACAGTCACTGATAACACCAGGATGCTGCTTTGTGACTTGCCTTGGAAGTGTGGTCTTGAGAGAGTAAAAAAGGGGCCCCCTCCATACTGTCTGTCCCACAGAGGCCTCTGCTTTATGTCTTCTGGCCAGAAAGAGGGTTTCTCTTGGACTTTTTTCTGTCTCCATCTACTGCATAGGATTCTAGGATTTGAGGTCCTCTTGAGTCTAAATTGGGAGATACAGGAAGAAAAAAAATCAAGAAGCCCAGTACCATAATGGTCATTTTTACTGGTTTTGATCAATCCACGTGCTATTTTGTACTTTTCAGAGCCCATGGATAGTTGTTTTATGTATTCTGTCCAGGGCTTTTAGTTTTAATCAGTAAGAGAGCTATGGTGGAATGTGCCTACACCATCTTAATGGAAGTAGAAGCACTTTATATTTAGAATTCTGGATACTCATGGCAAAAAGCAGAGTGCGATGGTTGAGCAAATGATTTTGGAAGCAGAATATGCTGGAATCTTACTTTGGCCATGGATTACTCTCTGCACTCTAATTCCCCACTAAATGATAGTAGTGATTGTTCAGTAAGTATTGAACACCTACTATGTGCTAATGATGATTAGTATCAGAGTTCACATTAGCTCTAGAAACTTCTAGCCCAGTCTCTGAACTTTCCGAAGAGCCTAAGCCCTGAAGGGGAAAGGGACTTGAGCCAGGTCACCAGCTGGGAACACCTGCAGTTGTGGCTAAAGCCTAGTGCTACTTCCAGAGACCTTAGCACTTTATGTAAATTTATCAATTTATCAATTTGATTGACTGTGGGAAGGAGAGAAGAAGAAAGCCAGCTACCGAGTAAAAAAGGTAATTTTTAGCCTGGAGAATTTATGCAGCGAAAATGTATTGCAGGGTGTGAAAGCTCAGGTTGGATCATTCACTCTCCACATAATCCCCCCAGACATTTTCCTGAGCACCAGCTGCTACTAGGAACCTGCCTTTAATCTGGAAGAAAGTGGAAAGGCACAGTGATGACCTTGACATGGCATTCCCCTCAAGCATTTCCATTGCATGGGGTTGAGATGCATATAGGACAAAAAAGGAGTTAACAGTACAAGGGAGTAGACGCCCAGGTCCTACTGAGTAATAAATATATCCAATGCTGGAGAGTGGGGAGAAGCAAGTACTTGAACTTTGGAAGACAGCCCCAGTCTGCATCCTCACTCTGCAACTTTCAAGTGTTGTAACTTGGGGCAAGTTACTCCATCTTCAGAGTCTTGTTTTCCTCATCTGTAAAATAAGAATTATACAAGCACCATCTTCATAGAGATGTAGTCTTCACAGTATTAAAAAATAAGAACAGTTGACATTTACTAAGCCTTTACTGTATGCCATTATGGTGCTCATATAAATCTCAAAAAAATTGCAATAGGTGAGTTTTCAGATAAACTGAGGCACAGATCAGCCTAATGATGCATGCAAAGTGTGCTTTAGTCCATGGCCTGATCAAAGAGAAGGAGAAGGTGGAGGGGGAGCTCTCAGCTGATAGAAGCCTAAGAAGGGATTTATGGGATGAGAGGCCAGAAGGTTGGTTCCAAAAACAGAAGTGACCTTGGGATGCCCAGCAGGCTCCAGGTAGTCTGTCTCAACTTGGATTCTCTCAGAGCCAGGTATGCATCTGGGGAAGAAGGATCCAGAGAACATGGTGTGTAGGGAAATGTCCTGCTGGGGAACCAGGAACCTCCAGTCCCAGCTCTGCCACAGTCTGCTGTGTAAACCTGAGTCGCAGCCTTCCCATCTGAACAGAGAGCAGCGAATGCACTAGAATTGGAAGTCTCAAACTCAAATGCCTTTAGAAGGCAATGTGAGTGAAGAAACCAGGTATATGTCCGTGTGAGGGGGAGAGGTGGGACTGGGGAATGGGGCAAGAATAGTGTGCCCAAAGGCATTCGCCTTCAATTGTCTAAAAGGCAATGCTGGCCAAACAAAATGCATCTGCTGGCCAGATCAGGCTGCCCCAGGGGCTGAGTTCCTTGATCTGCACAACCTGAAGAAGGGCCCTTCCAGCTCTGATGATCCAGGGCTCATCTTGTGACTCTAGGCCTTCCTTCCTTTCTTCCCTTTTTTCTCATTTATTGTGGTAAAATATACCTAACATAAAATTTACCATCTTAACCATTTTTAAGCATACAGTTCAGTGACGTTGAGTACATTCACATTATTGTGCAACCATCACCACCATCTATCTTTTGGTCTTGCAAAACTGGAACTCTGTACCCATTGAACAATAACTGTTCATTTGCCCCTCCATGAGTCCCTGGAAACCACCATCCTACTTTTTGACTCTCTGAATTTGACAACTTCAGGTACTTCATGTAAATGGGATCATGCAGTATGTATCATTTTGTGACTGGCTTATTTCACTCAGCGCAATGACCTCAAGATTTATCCATGTTATGGCATGGGTCAGAATTTCCTTCTTTTTTTAAGGCTGAGTAATATCTATTGTATGTATATCATCTTTGTTTATCCATTTATCCATCAGTGGACACTTGGGTTGCTTCCACCTTTTGGCTATTGTAAATGATGCTGCTATGAACATAGTTGTACAAATATCTATTCAAGTCCCTACTTCCAGTTTTTTTGTGATATACTCAGAAGTGGCATGCCTTTCTTTTGTTCATGTTCCTCTTTCTCCTTCTGTCTTTTTACACTATGATCCTTCTGTAGGTTCTGCCCCTGGAAAACAAGATGAAGGATGCCCGCCGCTTCCCAGCCATCCTGTCTCTGGGAATGTCCATCATCACTGCCTTGTACATCGGCATCGGGTCTCTGGGCTACCTGCGGTTTGGAAATGACATCAAGGCCAGCATAACCCTTAACCTACCCAACTGCTGGTAACTTCACAGGCCCCCAGGTGGTGGGCACTCAGGGCCGGGTGGGAATGTGTGGGTAACTGCCTCCCTTCCATAGATGGCAAACTAAGGTCTAGAGAGCCTCCACAGTGACAGGCGGAGCTGTAATTAGAACCCTGGGCTCTGGTTTCTCTGTCCAAGGAGCTCCTCCTTCAATAGCCTGCCATGTTGAATGAAGCCTTGATAGCTTAGGATGAAGAAGGACATGATTTAGGAAGAGAGAGAAGTGACAGTTCTTGGTCACCTAAGGAGAGAAGGGAGGGGCCCTCAGGGAGAACAAGAGGCAGAGAGAGGAGTTGGTGGGTGGCAACAGTCATCTCTGATTACATTTCCTGAGGCCTGTGCTACAAGCCTTGCTTGCCACAGACAAGGGTGCACATCCTCCAAGTTAGAGTAGCTAGGATAAAAAAGTAGTAAAACAAGAACCAATTTGGGAAGACCACTGTAAAAACTCTATGTTCAAGTGCACCTAATTCATGCAACAGTTAGCTGACCCAGACTTCAACAGTACCATATTTAAATAGACACATGAACCCATATTGCGTTGTGCAGCGCTCTTCCACACGGAGGCATGTCATTAACTATAGGATGCCTGTCTTTTTAAGGGTCACTTGGAGGCTTAATTTGCCTAAATGGGGCTCCTTTCCCAAGGTGGTAAATGTCATTCATCAAGCATTTACTGCATGCCAATTATGTGCAGATATCAGTCTAGACATACACGGGCATGGAGGGTACTGATGGAGTAGGCTGTGATCTTGAACTTCACTACCTTCCCCAGCTCATGATCCAGTGACAATGGGGGAGAAATAGTGTATATACACAAATGGAACAGAACAAGGAGCCCTCCAGAGTAGCAAAGAGGCTCTGGGGACTTTTGAGGAAAGAAATCCATCCGAATGAGAATCTTTGTGTGCAACAAGACAACTCTGTCCAGACAAGGACAACTCTGCCATTCATGGGCACAAGTCCTCGTTGCACCACCTCCTAGCTTGTGGTCATGGACAATTTACCTAACCTCTCTGACACTCAGTGTCTTCATCTATAAAGTGGTGTTACCATGGGGATTAAGTTGGGCATGCAGTATACCTCAAAAGATGGGGCAGATGGAAATGGACTAAAGTGGTGTTTCAGACAGCAGGACTAGTGTGAGCAAGAAACTCAGAAATGTGCAAGTTAATCTTTCTAAGGAATGGCTCCCCAGCCCCCATATACATACAGGTTTACTAAACGTGTGAGATGCAGCTACCACATTAGTGGAATCAAGGAAAAAGTCCTATCTCCATAGGTCAAAAAAGGCTTTGGTAAAACTCCACACCCCCCATCACACCCTGTCTCTGCCCCTCGTCCAATGCCTGCAAGTAACCCTGCCTCTCCTTTTGCCTCCCAACCCCCACGCAACCCTGTTTGTAGACTGCTTCCTTCCCCAAGGATTCAGGACTCTGCAGTTCTCTCAACCTACTAGAAGCATGTGCTGGGGGCCTGTTATGTGCCATGAGCTCTGGGGGGAATCCAGAGAATTGCTAAGGACTGACATTAGATCACAAGGGACTAACATGTTTTAGACCCAGGTTTTTTGGTCTTCACTACTTACCACTGTGTCTCCCTAGGCAAGGCAGCTGGCCTAAGCCTCTAGTTCCTCAAATCTAAAATTGACCATCAAGTGGTAGTGGTTTGTGAATGGTTACGTGTAGCCACGCTCAAGAGTCTTTTTCTTTAGAGATGACCCCCTGTTGCCATTTGGATCCGTGATCCCTCACTCTGTTGTCACCGCGTGCTCTGCTGTGACTCCCTCTTGGCTTTGGGAAGTCCCCTGCCCATCATTTTCAGACAAGGAGACTGGAGCCCAAGGGGCGATTCCACCATCAGAGGTTAATGTTTCCAGGAGGCCAGGTGCCTGAGCGTGGTGGCCTTAGGGAGCATTGCTGTGGTTTGTCCTGCAGGCTGTACCAGTCAGTCAAGCTGCTGTACGTCGTTGGGATCCTGTGCACCTACGCCCTGCAGTTTTATGTCCCTGCAGAAATCATCATCCCCTTTGCCACCTCGCAGGTATCAAAGCGCTGGGCGCTGCCTCTGGACTTGTCTATCCGCCTCGCCATGGTCTGCCTGACATGTGAGTACAAGGCTGAGCGAAATGTTGCTCTTTTCCTGAGGCTGTCAGGAATCCACCACATGGTGAAGGATAGTCCTGATAACCAGCATTGACTGAGTGCCATTTGTGTCTCTAAGACCGCACTAAAGCTTTACAAGTGTAACTCATGTAAGCCTTGGGGACAAACTAATTCTTCTATGTACCTAATTAGTCGGATTCACAGGTGTCCAGCCTGAGGGAGTGACATGGCTGGTTGAACAATAATCATAATGATAATACCTGATATTTATTAAATACCTACTGTGTACCAGCCACTGTGTTCTTTTAGGCCGTATTTCATAGTATTTCATTCAGCCCTGCAGGAACTCTTAGGAGGTAGGACTATGATAAACTTTCCTTTTCAAATGAGAAAACTGAAGCAGAGAGCGATAAGTAACTGGCCAGGAAGTGCCAGAGCTTGGATTTGAACCCACATCATCTAAGTCCAGAGTCAGCACCCTTCACCTCCGAGACAGAGGTCAGTGGCCAGTGAGTCTAATCTAACAGCAGAGGTGTGTTTTTGAGCCTCAGAGTGTTGTATAAACTTGTGCCAACATTTAAAACGTCCAAGATCTCACATACAAATCCAGATTTCTAACGTTTTCAATTAAAATGCTTTGGCAAGCCTAGGATCACATTCCCCACTGGCAGCAGTGAGCTGGACTTGCCCCCTAGGCTTCAGCTGGCCCCGCTCACCCCCTCACAGTCCTCCTTATGCCCCAGGCCCCATAATCCAGGACACCCCATTTGTGCAAGTGTTTTAGCAGGGGTGAAGGAGAAGATAGAGATTTCCTGCACAGAGTGTCCTGTTCCCCAGCTGTCCCTAGCTCCTTTTAATTGCGATTCTAAGACCTCCTCAGGGAGATTCTTTTTTTTTAAGATTTTATTTGACAGAGAGCACAAGCAGGGGGAGCAGCAGAAAGAGGGAGAGGGAGAAGCAGGCTCCCCACTGAGCAGGGAGCCCAATGTGGGGCTCGATCCCAGGCCCCTGGGATCAGGACCTGAGCCAAGGGCAGCCGCCTAACCAACTGAACCACCCAGGTGCCCCGCTCAGGGAGATTCTTGCTTCTTGCTGCACTAGACCAACCCATGCAGTTCAATGGACACCAGTTTTCTTTCTTTGAAATGATTTGTTCCCAGTTTAGCCCAGGAAGCAGGGACACTGCCATTCGGAATCTTAAGAGACTCCAGAGAGATCAAGGCATTTGTCCTAAATGTGAAGATAATAATCCCTGAAGCCTACAGCTTCTGCATGCACTGCCCCAATCCAGACAAATGCGGAAATAAATTGAAATAACAAACTTTTCTGAGTTATGTTATATTATAGTGCTTTATATTAACTCAGTTATCTTGGGGCATATAAATGAGTTTAAAACTTGAACACCATTTGCAGTGTGAACCATAACACCTAAAAGGATAGATAGCATTTTTCCCCATTTTGCAGAGGAGGAAACAAGCTGTGGAGGAGATAGGGACCTAACCCAAAGCCACACAAGGGGAAGCCAGAATCCTGCCTCCCAGACCTGTTTTGGTTTTGATATACCACCGCTCCTCCTCCACAGGAGGCCTGGGAGAGGCTTCTGGGCCTTCTTGGTGAGTCTTCCAACAAGTCAAATAAAAAATGTGGAAGGCCAGGCCTATAAAGCATCCTAGTAAAAAATAGATAATTTCAAAATCTTTAGCTTCTGGTGTTTGTTGTTTTCTAATATGTATGTAAAACCTGGAGAAGACATTCTTTTAATGAGACCCTGCGATCTTGTTCCAACTGAAGACCCCTTTCTCATATAAATAATTTCACATTCTAATCATTTGCAAGTAAGAGGTGCATGTAGTCATGTTCATTATTAAAATGTTAGCTCTATAAAGGCTTTTTTTTTTTTTAGTTTTTGTATCTTCCGTACATTGATGTGTCCCAAACAGATGGGACAGTTCCCAGCACTGTTATTTAATGTTATTTATTAAGTTAGAGCTTAATCGCTGTCTTTTTAAAAAGATTATTTATTTGAGGGGCGGGGGAGATCAGAGGGAGAGGGACAAGCAGACTGCTGTTGAACAGGGAGGCCAATGTGGGGCTGGATCCCACAACCCTGAGACACAACCTGAGCTGAAACCAAGAGTTGGACACCAACCGACTGAGCCCACCAAGCACCCCTTAATCATTGTTGAATAATGTGGGGATTTGAAGTGCGCCTCAGTGGCATAAAAATTATTTTAAGCTAAAAACATCTGAACAAACAGCAGCTACAGGGAGGGGAAAAATAAATCCTTATCTGAACTTTCTTTGCTGAATTAAGCAGGACCTTCTGACAAAGTACAGCCTCCATAAATCCCCTCTCTGGAAGGTTTTCTGCCAGAAAGGAGACTAACCATCATCACAGACTAATTCCCTATATAAACTCTCTGAACCAGTCATAACTTCCACTTGTTCTTACATATGCTCTTTTTGCCCCCTCCTTTCCCCTTATGAAATGGGCATGTGAACCCCTATCTTTGGCTGTTCTCGGAGCCAACTCCTCTGAAGGCTCCCTAGCCCTAAGCAAACTGTCTTTTGTCGTGTTAATTTTGTCTACTGTCAGTAAATCCCCAGGCCCTCCCTGCCCCCCCATCATTGAACCTATAGTAGGCAGAGGGAAGATTTCTCTTCCCAACAATATGAATGCTTATTTTGGAAAAATGATTAGGAGACACACCAGATTTTTAATTCATAGCCACTAGTGACGTGATCGGAGTATTATAGGACTTTCAGTGTTTTCCTTATGTAACTAAAATCGAGAAACAACTGGTTTATGTTTTAAGAAAAGGATTCTAAAACCAAGCTTGGGAAGCTTGACTAAGTCCTGAAGATCCATATATCCCGTATCCTTTCCCACAGGTACCTTGGCCATCCTTATCCCCCGCCTGGACCTGGTCCTCTCCCTGGTGGGCTCCGTGAGCAGCAGTGCCCTGGCCCTCATCATCCCGCCCCTCCTGGAGATCACCACCTACTACTCGGAGGGCATGAGCCCCCTCACCATCGCCAAGGACGCCCTGATCAGCATCCTGGGCTTCGTGGGCTTTGTGGTGGGGACCTACCAGGCCCTGGACGAGCTGATCCTCTCGGGACAACCCCTCACCTTTTCTAACTCCACCATTTTTATTCAGTGAGAATGGCACTGCACCTTATCCACCAGCACCTGACTTTTGCTGGTATGGATATCTTGTGTATGCTTTATCTTTATTTTGCCTCTTTATCTTTTTTCTGGGCCAAGTCATGGTGAAGCAAGCAAGGACTCACCAGCTACAGGGTCTAGATGGTAATTTACAGATTTGTTTTTAATTACTTTTCTTTCCATCTCTAGCTTTCCCTTAAGTTGAGAGTCTCCCATGGAAGGCTCTTGATTCATCCAACTTCTTGGCAATTGACAAGGTGGATTTTGTACCTTGAGTGGTGCTATGCAAGAAGAGGCCACCGGGGGGAAACCAAGTGACAGCAACGGGCAGAAGGAGGTGCAGCTGGCTAATGCTGACCCTGAGCTGGTAGACAAAGGGTTTCAAACAGCATAGACTAGGGGACATAACCTATGATCCAACAAGGAATACACAACTCCTATGACAAAATAGTTACGGCAAAGAGGTCCAATGTGAGCTGCAACTCTCAGAAAGGAGCCATCATATTTAAGTCAAGGGCAATAAACTTTCTAAACCACCGGATAAAGTTTTAGCCCAGTTCGGAGATGCCAGCAGCAGATAGGAGGTGTGGATGTAGATGTGTCAGTGGCAGGGGGGAGGGGAGTGGACAATACCATTACAGTATCTGACATTTACCTCTTAATTCTTGCAACAAGCATTCTACCTACTGTGTGTCAAGCATAGTTAAAGGTCCTTAGAGTAAGTTGCAAAAATGGCCACAAATTCCTCTTGACAATGTGACTTTGTAGCTCCTCTCAACAAGAGGTGAAATCTATGTCTCTACCCCTTGAATCTGGTCTTGCCCTCATGACTTATTTGGACCAATGGGACGTTAGTAAATGTGATGCAAGCAGAGGTTTGGTGATAGCTTGTGCATCAGGACTTTCATTTCTCGCTATGCTGTGGAGCCATGACCATCAGGTGAAGAAGCCTGAGCTAGCCTACTGGAGGATGAGAGGCCATGTGGAACAGAAGCGAATCATCCCAGTTGAACCCATCCCTCAGATCAACCAGCCTGCCAACTTCAAGACACATGAGGGAAGCCTCCTAGACCAAACCCAGCCCCAGCCAGGCTGACCCAGATCCTAAGAATTGCCCCGATGATCCACAGAATTGTGAGAAATAATAAATGTGGTTTTAAGCCATAAAGTGTGGGAGTTTTTATGCAGCAAAAGTTAACTGATACTCACTCTAAAGGAGATATACCAATGAGAAAAGCATCTCTGCCCTCAAAAGCTAGTTCACTATCCACTGGGGAAGAATTACAGGTAATCAACTAAGTCGATAGCATCATTGGTCCTTTTAAGGGCAAAGGGACACTGACTGCTCTGGAGTACTGAGTATGGCTTTCCACAGGTGGCGCCATTGACCTGGATTTCGAGTAGAACTTGGGTCTCCTGACCCTGAATCTTGCCCTCCTTCCACTCCGACCTGCTTCCTTGACAGTCCTGGGCCTTTTCTCATGTCTGAGCTTGGCTGGCAGCAGGAGCCAGCCAACCTGAAACACCATCTCAACCTTCCAGGTAGTGTTTGCTCCTTCCTCCCTAAAATCACTAAAATTAGGAAAGTGCCCCCAAATAACCGAGTAGATATTATAGGGCAGATCTATAATCCCAGGGGAGAGAGTTTCGCATCATACTTCCTGTAATTTATGGGAATGCCCCATGCTTGTTTCTGCCTCCATTTTAAGAGGATATTTGAAGAAGCCCTTTCCTGCTTATTTTCAACCATGAGCCTTCCTGTATGGCCTAGGGAAGATTTTGGGGGAGAGTGTCTGTCCCAGTTCCTAAATCCTGGTCTGCTCCTTTTGTGTGTTACTTTCTACCTCCTAGACTTCAAGGAGGTACTTCATGCTCACCAGCCCTGCTCAGGTAAGAGAAGGGCCAGCAGACCGCACCCAGATCCCCTAGACTGCAGAGTACCTGCTGGGAGTCAGGGCACTTATAGCCTATGCAGTGGTCCACAGCCCACCCGACCAGAGAGCTGGCTGATCATTTCCCCCCCTGTACTTCTGTTTCATCAGCAGACCCAAAGCACTTCCACTGAGGGGCTCAGAGCTGTGGCAAAGCTTTCTTTCTCTCTCTGTGTTTGCCTCTCCCGCCATATTCCTCCATCGCCGCAACCAGGCTTGCTCAGTTTAAGATTGTCCTCTGTTATTAAAAAATGGTCACAGTCATTGCCAGGGACTAGCCCCTACCATGTAAGATGCTCAGGTCAATCTTATCATTTAGACTAATCTGGCTAAAGTTCAATTTTGGGAAGAAAAAAATAAATTTAGTAACATAGATGTAACTAAGAAAAGTAAGCTGGGGAGACTCATTAGTAATTGTCAGCAACACTAAAGAATACCAATTGCTGGAATTGTGTTTGAGTGGTGAGGGTATTAAATTTTGTTGTTTGTTTCACACACACATACACACACACACACACACACACCCTCCCCATCCCAACTGATTCTTTAACTTTTGGAGCTTGCTCTTGAATCAAGAATCATAGAAAATCCTTTCTTACTTCCCTCACCAAGCACTTACTGTGTTTTGCATGGGGTCTCACTTAATCCTTACAACAGTGCTGGGAGATATGTCCTGTCATTGTCCCTACTTTCAGATAAGGAAACAGGCTGAGACATAGGAATTAAGTGGCTGATGATCAAACATGTAGTTGGGTTCAGGACTCAACAGTTGTACACCAACAGCCTTCACTTTGTAGGGCCCAAGAGGGACCTCGGAGGATGATGGTCAAAGTGAAAAAGAGGAAACTGTGTCCAGTGAAATAAGCCAGTCACAAAAAGACAAATAATGCATTATTCCAGTTTTATGAGGTACCTGGGGTAGTAAGACTTCTAGAAACATAGAATGGTGGGGATGGGCTGGAGAGAGGAGCAGGCAGCGGTTTAATGGGGAAAGAGGTTCAGTTTTGTGAGAAGAAAAAAGGGCTGGAGGTTAGTCGCACAACACTGGGGATTACTTAACATTACTGAACTGTACACTTAAAAATGGTTAAGATGATCGATTTTACGTTAAGCATAACACAATTATTTTTATTACACGGTAAGTCGCACATCCAGATGTTCACAGTTGTCCTCCCTGGATGGTGGGGAGATTTACTATAATCTTTCACTGTTAGATTACATGTGTAGTGTCATCTTCCTATTTTCCACTCGAGTGCGGACTCCTTGAAAGTGTTCATTGCTAAGCCTGCAGTGCCTAACATGGAGTAGACATTCACTAGAAAGTATTAAAGCGGTGAATAAATGCAGTGGGGGAGGGGAAACTCTTTCCAACGTGAGGAAAAGCCTTTGGGGCATCAGAGGAAGGAGAGGTCTCATTGGACATTCGGAGGAAGGAAGTGGCCCTTGGAGCAGATTTTGCAGCAGTACTGAGTTGACATGGGCAGCACGTGGCTCCCATAATCTTCATAAGTGGCCTGTCTAGACCATCCCAAATGAACATGCGGGCCAAGTACGGTGTGCCCAGGCTTGCTCTGCAAAATGCACTTCAAGACAAGGCTTGTGCGCGCCAACGCCATCCTTCCCTTTATGTGAAAGTTCTTGGCGTCATCTTGACCCCTCCCCTCTCTTCTATAACCCACCTCTCATCTGTGCATCAGCACATCCTCTTGGCTTTATCTTTTAAAGGTACCCAGACTTCAGGCGCTTCTCACCAGCTCTTTAGCTACCACCCTGGTCTAAACCACTGTTGACAGGCACCCGGCTCATCACAGTGGTCTCCTAATTATCTCCCCGAGTTGGCCCTTGCCCTCCTTCAGTCTGCTCCCAACCAAATGGCCCTGAGAGACCCTGTTAAAATGCAAGGCATGTCACTTCTCTTCTCAACCCCTCTGTGATTCCTCATCTCAGGGTAAAAATTAAAGGCATTACAGTGACCTATAAGATCTTACCCATCCCATTCCATCCCTCTTCCATTACTTCTACTTACATTAACTGCACCTCTAGTGTGACCATGTAATTTATCATCCAAACTAGGACAATTTTGATAATGAAAAGAGGCACTATTGGTAATTATGCCAGGGCAGTAAACACACACCAGCACAGTCCTGGGCAAACCAGACATATATCCACTCTACTCATCTCCCCTCTCCTTTGTGCATGCTGAGCCAGCCACATGGCCTTATTACCATCCCCAAAATGTCCAGGCCCTCTTCTCCCTCAGGACCTTTGCATTTACTGTTCCCTCTGCTTTAAGTTTCTTACCTAAGACATACACGAGACATGCTCCCTCATCCCATTCAGCCCTTTACCCAGATGTCACTTTCTCAGTGAGGCTCTCTCTGACCACCCCATCTAGGATTGCAACGCCCCCCCCCCACAAGCCAGCACTTCCCATTCCCCTTTATTCCTTTATTTTTCTCTATAGTACTTACTACCAACTAACATAACTTGACATATTTGTTTATTGTCTGTCTCCTCACTAGATGTAGTTCCATGAGGGTAGAGATTGTAGTAAGTTTCTCTCCTAATGTATTCCCAGTAGGGAGAACACTGCCTAGTATATCTTAGGTGCTCAATAGATAGTTGTTGAATAAATGATTTTTTTAAAAAGTTTACTTTTACTCCCTTCCAAGTAGGTACAGAACATACGCCCTTCCTGTGCGGGAATTCTGAGTTCAGGTAGCACCTGAACTGGGCTTAAAAGCCACTCTTGACCCAGGGAAGGTGGTGGCCGATCAGTCTCGGTTGAGCCACACCTGCATCCTGGGATTCTGTAGCACCTTATTGGCTGGGCAGCCTTCATTGTGAGGTAGCTCTGGCCTCTTCCTCAGAGGTAGACAAGCATTGAACCTGGCCCCACGTCCAGGCACCAGGACCTGCAGTCCAATGGTGACTTCCTCCTCCCAGTCACACTGTTCCCTGTGCCCTACAGCACTTAGGGCTGACCTGGGAAGGACTGGAAGCCCAGGTGAGTCCTGGCCTGTGGCCGACCAATTCTGAGGGGCACTGAGGGTCATGCTGAGACTCTCCTAAGTCCCCCAAAAGCCAGGTGAGGCACAGTCAACATCAGCTTCCTCTGCCACCAGCGCTTCACTGATTCACACATTTGGGCTTCAGTCTGGGTCAGGCACCCTCGGGAAACAGGAACCAGCATCTTGGGCCTGCAGCCCTAGTTTCTCTGGAGAAAAACTCATGGGAGGCTGGTTCAAGGCTGTTATAGGCCTTCACCCTGAGCTGGCACCACGTACCCACCATGTTGAAGACGTCACTGCTCGGAAGGGACTTCAACAGTGAGCCCGGCTCCTTGGACGACAGGTCCAAGTCATTCTCGGAGAGTAGGGGCAGCTTAGCTTCAGAGAACATCCATCCTGCTGAGGAAGCCAGTGGATTATCGTAAGTGGCCGCACTGCCCTTCCCGACCTGAGGCCAAGCGCCGCTGCCTTCACAGCCCTGGGCCGCATCAGCCTACTTCTCTCTTCCTAACACCTCTAGCCCCGGACTGAACAGGAGATGCATGGAGGAAAAATGAAAGCCAAATCTAAGAAGGTTGATTCATGTGGCTCTGGTATTATTACACTTGTCTCCCAGTTTTTGCAGAGAACCCAGAGTAGCCATCCCAACATGAACTTGGTTCTAGGAACGATTTTTATCATAGGCTGGCCGTGTGCTCTTCCACAGTTTGAGACTGCTTTCCTCTCTTTCTGCATCTGCTATTATTCATTCTCTCTCCTTCCCTCCCTCCTTCCTACAAACCCACCCAGGAAACAACACCTCCTAGCCCCATTTCCCTACTTTTACTGCTGTAAACTCAGACACATGGAACTTTTTCTTAGAACTTTATTGCCAATTAGACTATTATCCAGTAATCAGATCAGATAATAGCCTTGGGCATAATGAGATTGTAAATGACAATAGCCAGTGTCAATAAGGATGTCAGGAAATGCCCTCGCTCATGTCCTTTTAGGAAGAATGAAACTGGTACCTTTCCAAATGGCGATGTTGTAATGTATGTCAAATCCTAACACCTATTTATATAAAACATACAAATACTTACTTGGCATATGCTTCCTTTGAAAGTACACACATACACACACACACAGAGCTTGGGGGTGAGAAAATTGGGAGACCGAGAGGGAGAGAGATTTATATTCACTAATAAGGTTTTTTGGTTCTTGTTTTTATTTTACTTTTTGAATTT